ACAAGTAAGCAATTTAATATTGCCATCACCTGCCGTGGTTACCTTTTTATTCTTTTTTGTAGTAAGAGCACTTAAAATCTCCTCTCTCAGCAAATTTTCAATATAGAATACAATATTATTAGCTATAGTCTTCCTGCTGTACATTAGATCGCTAGACTTATTTATACTACATAACCTCAAGTTTGTACCCTTGGAACTACTTCTCCTCATTTCCTCCCCCTCCTTGCCCCTGGCAACCACCATTCTGCTCTCTATTTCCAGGTTTTCAACTTTTCTTTTAATTCCACATATAAGTGAGATCATGGAGTATTTTTCTTTCTGTGTCTGGCTTCACTTAGGATAACGTTTTCCACATCTATCCACGTTATCGCAACTGGCAATGTCTCCTTTTTTAAGAAAGCTAAATAATATTTCATTGTATGTATATATCCCAGTTTCTTTACCCATTCATCCTTCCACAGACACTTAGGTTGTTTCCATATCTTGGCTATATGAATAAGAGGAAAAGCTCCTTGACATTGGCCTTGGCAATGATTTTTTAGGCATCTCACCAAAAGCGCAGGCAACAAAAGCAGAAATAAATAAGTGGGACTGCATGAAACAAAAAAACTTTTGCATAGCAAAGGAAATAATTTTAAAAAATGAAAAGGCAGCCCATGGATTAGAAGAAAATATTTGTAAACCATATATTCAATAAGGGGTTAACATCCAAAATAAAGAACTCACACAATTAAATAGCAAAAAGCCCAAATAATCCAATTAAAAATGGGCAACGGACCTGAATAGACATTTTCCCAAGAAGACATAAACATGGCCAACAGGTATGTGAAAAAGGTGCTCAACATTAGTAATTATCAGGGAAATGCAAATGAAAACCACAATGGGATGTCACCTCATACCTGTTAGAATGGCTATTACAAAAAGTTAAGATGTTGGGGAGGATGGGGAGGAAGGGGAACCCTAGTGCACTGTTGGTGGGAATATAGTTTGGCACAGCCATTATGGAAAACAGTATGGAGGGTCTTCACAAATTTAATAATAGACTTACCATGTGGTCCAGCATCCTTCTTCTGGGTATATACCCAAAGGAAAGGAAATCAGTACCTTAAGCAGATACTGCACTCCTGTATTCACTGTGTGCATTTTAAATGACTGAAGCAGCTGTGTGTAAGTTTGGGGTCTCCTGCTTCTAGGTGACCTGTTTCCTTTGGCATGGTCTCTAGCTTCACAGGCTGCCCTCAGATCTCTCCTCTGGAGAGGTCCTTGGGCACCCAGCTAGGTGTTTCAAAAGTGGGGCAGTGTTTGCTAGGTCCTGAGGGGCTGTTACTTCAACAAAAGTTACGTGGCCCTAACATGTTTCCCCAACAGGCTTTAACACTTTGTATGACATTCTCTTATTCATCTGACCTTTGCATTCAAAATTAAATGTAAATACATCACCTGAGAGAGGTCGCACAGTAAGGTACAACTGCCCCGAAACTAGGTTCTCATCCTGAAGTTCTTCCTGTCTCTTACTAACTCTCCACCTCCCTCATTTAATCGAAATAAGTTCCAGGAGTTTTCTTCCCAAATAGCTCTGAGACCCATCTGTCTATTCTTCACCATTCCCCCCACCCGCTCCCTTCAAGCGAGGGAATGGAAACTCTAGAACCAAACTCTTTGGATCTAGTCTCGTCCCTGCCACTCGCCAGCTATATGACCCTGTGCAGGTTAAGGTTGCCAAGCAGCTACCGATGACGAACTGGTCCCTTCCTGCTCCCACCTCCTCCCGTGTCATCTTCAAGTCTTGGGTGTTGCCCTGTAGGGGTTCCCTAGGCAGGTGGCTCCCAGGCAGACAAATGCGAGGAACAAAGCAAACCCTTTGGGTACAGCCGCTTGGTGGCACGTGGACAGCCTTGCCTCTTGCCACTGCTTCCCGAGCATCATGCCCACCCTCACGATTGGGCTCAGGCGTTGGCGATTGATGTGGACTGAATATTTGTGTCCCCTCAAATTCATCCACTGAAGCTCAAACCTCCAGCTTGACTGTATTTGGAGATAGGGCCTGTGAAGAAGTGACAAAGGTTAAATGAGGTCCTAAGTGTGGGACCCTAATCCAGGAGGGCTGGTGCCCTTATAAGAAGAGGAAGAGACCCCAGAGCACTCTCTGTCTGTCTGTCTGTCTCTCTCCCTCTGCACATGAGGAAAGTCCACATGAGGACATAGCTAGAATGCTACCTGTGAGCCAGGAAGAGCGCCCACCAGAAACCCAGTCAACCGTAACCAGGGTCTTGGACGTACAGCCTCCTGAACTGTAAGGAATAAATGCCTGTTGTTTGGGCCACCCAGTCTATGGTTTTGCTATGGCAGCCCCAGCAGACTAATGCAGTGGCCATTTAAGCAAGGTTTTTAATGTTTCTGAGCAAAGCCTCGTTTCCTTATCTGTAGAATAATTCTGCCTACATTTATTTAAAAAAAAGAAAAAGAAGAAGAAAGAAAACTGGCCCAGGCTTAGCATAGGGAAATATTCATTTCCAATAAAACTCATAAATAGGGAGGCCAGTCCACAGTCATCCTTCTTGTAATGATTTATTTTCTTAGACAATCTCAAGTGTTTTTTTGTTTTTGTTTTTTGTTTGTTTTTTTTTTTGAGAAAAAACGGCTATAAGTGAATGAAGGAAAGAAGAAAAGAAAACAATCAACTGAGCATGCAGGGTTGTTCTCCAAAGAATCATCCATCACTGTGTCCTGCCACCTGCCATTTCTGCTTCCTGAATTTCTCCTGAATCCTTCTGCTTCTCCATATACCCACTACTGAAGTTCTGACCACTCTCCTCTCCTCTGTTCCGCTCCAGCCTTCTCCTCCTCCCCTCCCCTGTCCCCTCCACAGTTCCCTCATCAGCCCCCAAAAAGTTCTCCACGCCCCCAGCCTTTCCTCCTTCCAGTCGTCTCCACACGGCAGCCAGAACAGTCCTTCTCAAATGCCGAACTGTCAGCCTTGCTTCTCCGTTCCAGACCCATGCCGCTCTGCAGATAAAACCGAAGTCTCCAGTGTGACTCGCAAGGCGCCTCGGGGTCTCTCCGCTCTCAGACTTAGCCTTGCGTGAGCCAGCAATGCTGAATTTCTTTCAGTCCCTCAGAAGCCCCGAGCTCCCATTTCTCTGGGTCCTCTGCTTAAGACATCCCGCTGCCTCTCGCGCTAGAGGCTGATTTCATTGCTTCTTATCCTTAAAGCCTCAGCGGTGCTCACTGCCTTCCAGAAGTCTCCTCTGATCCCCATTCGGGATAAGCATGCCGTGCTTCCCTGACACCCTGCTCCCTATTGTTATATGCTGTCTGCCACCACCCGTGTTTCCTCATCGCCCACATTTCCTCATTCCCATCAGCTAGCTGAGGGCAGCGACTCTGACTACCTTATGCCTTCAACATCTGGCACGGCGTGTGGCACTTAAAGGGGCTCTACGTAGACTGTAAACAACTGTACCAGTTACTTCAGAGAAATGCTTGCAAACTGATTTTATCAAACCATCTCACTTCTGGAATATCCCTTTTTAATGCTTCTGCTCGGGCCTACCTTAACGCTTGCCTTTTCTTTTCCTGGCATTCCCTCCAGACCACATGAGGGCCAGGCATGTGACGATGATCTCAAATGAGCCCAACTTTACTACCCACCATTACTGAGTAGTTAAAGACCTTTCTGGGTCCCTGTGCACACGCCTAGGTCTGGAATGTGTTTTCCTTCCAACACGGTCCCCCCTGGGAACGGTGCACACGGAGGAGAAAGCAGCGACTCTGCAGTGGGAGGGAGGTGGAGAGTCTCCCACACTGACCGTTTGTGTGGGGTTCCCACATGGGAGGAAACCAGAATGATGGGAAGGAATAAAGGGAAAGAGGCAAGAGAATAAAGGGTGCCGCATGATACAGCTCATGTTTTGCAAGGCTGTGGTCCCCAACCCCTGGGCCTGTGGCCTATTAGGAACTGGGCCACACAGCAGGAGGTGAGCGGCAGGTGAGCAAAGAAAGCTTCATCTGTATTTGCAGCCGCTCCCCATGGCTCACATCTCTGCCTGAGCTCCACCTCCTGACAGATGAGCGGCAGCATTAGCTTCTCATAGGAGCCCAAACCCTACTGCAAACTGCCCATGCGAGAGATCTAGGCTGCGCACTCCTTATGAGAATCTAATCCTGACGATCTGACGTGGAGCTGAGGCAGTGATACTAGCACTGGGGAGCGACTGCAACTACAGATTATCATTAGCAGAGAGGTTGCACAATAAATGTAATGTACTTAAATCACCCTGAAACCATCTCCCCCCCAACCCCGTCCCGTGGAGAAATTGTCTTCCATGAAACTGGTCCCTAGTGCCAAAAAGGTTGGGGACCGCTGTTGTAGAGGATGTTGTGGTTATGAGCTATTCTTTTCTTTTTCTGGTTCTTTCTTGTGCACACAGAAAGCACATAGGCTGTTTCATCGAGTCTCCGTGAGTGAGAAGCCTGCCCCCAAGAGAGATATGAAAAGAAGGGTTTGCCTAATGCTGAAATCCCCCCTAGGGCAAGTGTTTGTCATTAACCTCTGCCGGGTCTAACTTAGCCCCAGTGTTGCCCCATCTTCTGCCCCCTGCACAATAAATTAGGAACACCAGATTGGCCCGATCCCTGCAAGGCTAGGGGTTTCCCTTGGATGGTGCACTCTCAGAAGATGCCTCAGGAAGGACCACAGAGCCTTGCCCAGGCTCCAGCTGTGTCTCTGGCCCAAACAAAGACCCTGTGTTTACATGAGAAGGGCGTTTTGTTCATACACAGTTAGCATGTGTGTTCAGTTATGCACTGCCTTCATTGTTCTATAGAAAAACAATACATAGTAACTCATACAATTCACAAATTTTGGAAGCCTCATTTTAGATGGATACAATGGGCATTTCACATGTAGATTTATGAAACTGTGAGTCAAATATGAAGGACTCTGACAGTAATATTCCTTGTTCCTGTGTTTTTTTTTTTTTTTAATTTATTGATTTTAGGTCTGGAGTTCAAACTCTGCCCCACAATGCCAAGGTTCACTACAACTATGCCAATTTTCTGAAGGACCAAGGCCGGAACAAGGAAGCGATCTACCACTACAGAACGGCCCTCAAGTAAGCGCCATACAGGGAGGGTGTTGGCTGTTGTGTGTGGCTGTCTCCTCCCAGTATGTGGGGGTTTTGTTTCTCTCGACAGGGAACGTATTCTCAGAGGTAGTGCAGTTCTCTAACAAGTCTTTTAGTTTAGTACTCAAGTATGTTATAAGTGTGATAACTCTACCTTGCTTCTAACTCTTTGTGTTTTCTTGTAAAAGTATTCATTGCTGCACATTATTCAATGAAGTCACACTCAGTTGAATATATACACATACACACACACACATATATATGTAAACAGAATTTGGTTGTCAAAAATATACTAGCAGGTTCTCAGGGTATCTATTCCAGTGAATTCTTAATGGTGTGTATGTAGAAGGCTCTAGGCTTTCCTGTCTGAAAGAATTTATATGATGACATTTGAGTATAGAAATGAAATGCCCTGGTAGTTGTATTACATAGAAAGAAAATGGTAAGACAATTGATTACCATGCAGGGAATATGTTAATTGTGTGTGTGTGTGTGTGTGTGTGTGTATATATATATATACTATATTCTCCGATACTCTTCTCGGATTCTTCCCATGAAAGAGAGAATATGTAATATGTCTTTAGATGTGATTTTAGGAGAAACTGAAAATGTAGGTTCTGCATTATCAGCAGCCATAAGTAGATACTCTTTTGAAGTACAGCTGTGACTTTTAAGGTGATTTTTCTCTAAAAGGTCCCGGGTAATAAATGTACTTAACCTTCAACTCATGGAGGCATGATAATTAAACAGAGCCTTGCAATCTCCAATTGAGGGCAAAATAAAGCAAGGTGAATCCTGTCCTTTATGGAATACTGTGATGCTCATAGAAGCCTTTCAAAGATCCTTCTTTACCTCCCCAGACTGGCCCGCATTTGCTTGAATTTTCTGAGACTGTTCCACTTTGGAATATGCTTAAAATACATTTATCAACCAAATCATAAATTTCACTAGGATTGCCTCAAGACTTAGTTTAAAATTGTCATGATTATGTTCTACATAAGCATATTGTTCATCGATCAAAATCTTTTAGACTTTAGGGCCTGTGACTTAATATTCCTTATGGCAAAAGTTTTAAACCATAGATATCGTTTGCTGTCAGATACTTTCCCAAATGTTACAAGAAATATAAGTCCCAGAGGAACAATTATAACCAAGCTTTTTGTTGAAGAATAGAAGTTTTTATTAGGGAATAGAAGGCAGTTTTAAAATTTAATAAAGAATTATATTCTTTCACTTGAAGATGTTTTCCAAAGTGTTTACAATGCTTACCTCTGATAGGTGCGATTATGATTTTTTTTTTCCTTTATATTTTCTTGTGTGTCCCATGTGTTACACAATGAACATCTGTTACTTTTGCAATGAGAAAATTTCATTTTTAAAAAGGCATAATCTGGCCAGGCGCGGTGGCTTGTGCCTGTAATCCTAGCACTCTGGGAGGCCAAGGTGGGCAGATCGCTCAAGGTCAGGAGTTTGAAACCAGCCTGAGCGAGACCCCGTGTCTACCAAAAATAGAAAGAAATTAATTGACCAACTAAAAATATATAGAAAAAGGTAGCCGGGCATGATGGTGCATGCCTGTAGTCCCAGCTACTCGGGAGGCTGAGGCAGAAGGATCGCTTGAGCCCAGGAGTTTGAGGTTGCTGTGAGCTAGGCTGACACCATGGCACTCACTCTAGCCTGGGCAACAAAGTGAGACTCTGTCTTAAAAAAAAAAAAAAAGGCATATTCCTTCAAGGATACATTTAAAGTGTATTTTGACTTTACTAACTAATGTCAAACAATTTTAGATGGCATTCTTGAAGGAAGGAAAAAGAGAACTAAGTTGGTTGAAAAATATTGGTTAAAAGGAAGTGTATCAGTATATTTTTAAATTTGTTTTATTATAACAGACTATTTTCTGTCAAGTTCAAACAGAAAAATAAAGCAGACCCTAAGGCACAGCTTAGGGCAAAGATATAAATTAAGCAAAATTCTCTGGCAGTTGATTTTACAGAATTATAGTAGCTGGTTGAGTACTTCCGCTTCTTTCCCGTGAAACAATAAAAATAAATGTTTGCTTCAGCAACTGCGCTTCTGGAAGAAATATGTCTCTTGAGAAATGGGGAAAAACAATTAAAGCTATAAATATACTGCACAGTAATTAGTGAAATATTTTATGCTCTCAGACTAGGTTCAAAATACTTCTGATTTAAAATATTTTTCTGTGGATACCTCTGGGGTGGATTTTCAACGGATGTGGGTGTTTCTGTTTTCGCTTTTCTGAAAAAAAAAAAAATTGTCACTCTTTGTGTTAGAAAGAAAAGGAAGATACCAGGACTATTCATCATGTTGATGGTTATTTATCCTTGGTGACTGGAAGATTGCCCTTATTGTGATATTGCTATTTCTTCATGGAAGTTGCTGAGACATGGATTCCTCTCTCTCCAACTGTTCCACCTCTACTTCCACTTTAGTGTGTCTGATGCTTGCCATATTTGCGCACAGCAAGAAAGAGAGTGATTAGGGAAATGCAAGGTTAAAAGCGTTATTATTATCTGAAATCAGTTCCAACAATTATCCATTACTGTTGTAATGACTGTATAGATCCCAAAGGCAATGGTGAAGTTAGTCGCAAGGGTTGTATCTATAACCAGTCTCTCTCTGGCTGCCTTATAATTCTCAAACTAGCACTATCTTAAGTTGGTAATTATATGTGACATGAACATTCTGCTTCTTTTAAACTTTTTTTATTTTGTAAATAATGCAGAAGTACCACTTCTTCTCCTCCCTTTTGGTAGACCTTTATTGTATTTCTGTAATGCAAGGGAAACCTGCCCTGGAAAATGCTGTAGCTAAGGTTATGTATTCAGTTTAAGACCCAAATCATCAAAGAAAAATGTCAGAACTCTTTCCTTAAATCCTCAACAAACACAAGTGTTAGCTTTGCTTTACAATGAAGGGCAGCTCTTATGTTTATACCTACGGCAGTACTATATAAGCCTGGGATTCTCTATATTGGAGAATCAGAAAAACACTAGCATATCTGCCAGGTGCCTCCAGAGTGTTCCAACCATTCAGTTACCCTGGAGAACATTTCTAACATTCCCACCTAACATGGTGGGAATAGAAAGTTCAGAGACCACCCCAATAATTCAGCTCTTCCTACACCAGAACTCCCTGGAAGTGCCTCATCCAATAAGCACAAAAGGAGAAATAGTGACCCTACCTGAATAAAGTGGAAAGATACTAGATGTGTACTTGGCCATTTATGTGCATTGTTGATTAGCTTAAAAAGTCAGTTAAAAATGGAGAATCATAACACAAATTAAGCACACTCTTGAGTATTTTATTTTACCCCGAAATTTCGTATGTACATCTATTCACCAATCTTCTAATGTCAAATCAAGTCCTTTTCTTTAAGAGTCTACTGATTAGAATCTGCAAAAACCACATCCATAATTCATTGCTATGATTATCAGTTTTGATATTTTAAATTGGAATAAAAATTTTAAGACATTTGCCAAGTAATTTGAGTAGACTGAGATTTTCTGATTTTTCTCCACTAGTCTTATAGTTATTTCGCTCACATCTAATTCAACAGTGATTTTTTTTTTGAACTGCCCTTTTTTGGGTGTTTTCAGAGTATTTTACTTTTTTTCCCATAGAAAGAATTCTTTTTTTCACACTTAAATTTTATCAGTTTACAAAACCAGACTCTTTTATATTGGCAAAGCTAAAATTTCTATTGTGTTTTTAAAGCTTCTTTACAAAAGAAATCTGCTCTCACTACTGAATTGGCTAACACAGGGTAAAGGAGAGAAGTAAAATCTTTCTGATTGGAATTTGTTGAACACATAAAATAGAGACTTGTCATGATAATAGTGCCTAATTGATATAATTCTTTGTATTCCTTGCTGTATGGATAACTGGAACTCTGCAAGGAGATTCCATTAAACTATGATAAGTGTACATGGAATAAAGGAAGTAACAATGGAGTGAGTACTGAAGAAATACAGTATAGTTAGAGTCTAAAGAAGTCTGACCGTGACTAAATAAGCACTGTTCTTTGATGTCTTAAGCACATCAATAAGATTACTTTATTATAAATCCTTTTAATAATGCTGTTTATAAAACCATTGTCTGTTAAGTTCAAACAGAAAAATAAGACATACCCTAAGGCACAGCTTGGTGTGAAGTTTGAACATGTTTTAATAATCAGGAGTCAATGAGTATTTTAAAAGTACTTCTTTACACAGCCTATTTTGAATGAACATTTTTAAATAACTCTCTCATGACTACAGGTGGCCTTGGATACCATCTGCCGTGTATTTCTGGGAAGAATTAAAATTCCAATAACATTTGTTAGCCAGGTTTAACAAGTAGAGAGGGTTCTTCAGCTGGTGTGATGTTTTCATTTATAAAAGTCTAAATATGCTTTCTAATATCACAAGTAGACACTTGAAATTATTTTTGTTTCTTGTTGATGGAATTACATTCTCACTATGTATACGTTGCATTATTAAGTCTGGCAGTTTTAGTCCATTAAATTCAGGAAATTAAACATTATTTTGTTTAGAAATGAACTAGAATTTAAGTCGTATTGTGACCATTCCTTATGAACTGAATTTCAATATGAAAGCTCCATAATTTGTCTTCAAAAACGTCTCACTCTCTGTGGCTGTCTTTTTTTTTTTTTTTGCCTTATACCACTTTTTCACTTAAAAAGCTAGCTGAGGCCAGGCGCGGTGGCTCGCTCCTGTAATCCTAGCACTCTGGGAGGCTGAGGCGGGCGGATTGCTCAAGATCAGGAGTTCGAAACCAGCCTGAGCAAGAGCGAGACCCCATCTCTACTATAAATAGAAATTAATTGGCCAACTAATATATATAGAAAAATTAGCCGGGCATGGTGGCGCATGCCTGTAGTCCCAGCTACTCAGGAGGCTGAGACAGGAGGATCGCCTGAGCCCAGGACTTTGAGGTTGCTGTGAGCTAGGCTGACGCCACGGCAC